GTTTATTACTTGGGGACCATACGCCGCTTTTCATGGAATGGCACGGAAGTGTCACATTGAAGGTTCCATGATAACCGCCGTATGAACACATCTGAGGATGCCCCTAAATTCAAAATTGTACTATTTCACGTTTAAATGTTGAATTCTGCTTAAGCCGGTGCTAGGGGGCGTGGACGGTAACTTGCACTTTCCAGTACCGTCCATGAACAGGCTCAATCAAACCGAGCCTGCAACATTTTCAATTTTGCCGTGTTGGGCTTTCTTTTGGGTTTCTGTATTTATCTATTTTTTGGTAATATGCAAGATGTCTGTATTTGTATATTTTACGTACAGAATTTTTATGTACATGAAATTCTGGTTTAAGTAACCGAACACAACGTCGACAGTTCGGTTAATTTAGCATAATTTTATATCCCTAGAATATGGACTACATATATATGAAAGAAGTGTATCCAAATAGGTTTTTATGGTATATTTTTAAGAATATGATAAACAAGATCAACAAGGAAAGGCGGCGTTCAATGAACGCAACCCCCACATGACCCAGCAACAAGAACCAATGGCAAGGAGCCCAGGGGGACCCCAAACAAAAACAGGACAGGGCAAAGACAGAGCACGGACAGGTTAATCATTAAATGATAATTAATTTGTAACTTATTAGGAATTCAAAGAAAATAAAAATAGGCCCACAAAGGGGAAGGGGACAGGAGACCGGGGGAGGGGTGGGAGTAATCAAAGAAATAAAAACTAGAGGCAATGGGGAAGATACTTACCGTAGACGAGAAAACAACAAGGGACACAAGCAAAAGTGTCACCAAAACAGTATGAAACAACATAAGACATACATCTGAGGAACACAGTGGGCGCCGCTTGGAACGGTCAGCAGCATAATAATGACTGCTGGGGAGTTTAAACCGGTTAATGGTGCACCAAACCTCGCTCTTAGCCCCACCATGTTCCTATAAACGAGACAGTGTAAATAAAATGAATCCCCGCCAAGTGAAATTCTAACAGTTGTCATGGTTACAAAAGGTTAAATAAGTAAAACACTAAAATGATCATGTAGAAACATATAAAAGTAAACCAAATGACCATAACAAAAGTACTCAATGTCCTAAAGGAAGACAGAGCAACAAGAAAATCACCTACAAGGGCCCGACGAAGCAAGGCAGAAGACGAACATTAAGACAATTCAGTCCCAAAAGGCTTTACGAACTATCCATCATAGAGTCTCCCACTTGGTCCGTCAGATGCAATCAAAAGAGGAAAGCGTAGTGTCCAACTGTAAAAGGGTTGAACACTAAACATGCAGTATGTCTTAAAATAGTAGGGTCATAACCTCTTTTAATAAAACGTTTAATGATTTTAGTAAAAACAGCAGAAAAATTACCATGACCCAAAATCTTACGAAGTTTGTAAATCACATCGCCATAAAAACCAGGCTGGCTAATCCTTTGTCGCAGAAGAGTTTTTAAATCACTATTGAATTTGGAAATTAAATCAAAGTTACGATTGTAAAATTTAGTAAAATATTTCCGTAATTTATGATAGCGGTAGCCCTGTTTTAGAAGCTTGCTGGTAATAAGAATATTTCGCTCGTTAAAATCCTTTACGTTGCTACAAGCTCTAGCGAATCTAATTAACTGGGAAACATAAACCCCGTAAGATGTTGCATGGGGTACGTCTCCATCTAAATGTGGATAATTAACTATACAAAAGTCAAAGTCATCTCTTTTATCATAGATTTTCGTGTGAATAGAATTGTTGTTGATAGTAATATGAAGATCCAAAAATGATGTACTAAAATTTGAAGAGTTCGTTTTATTAAGTTGTAGTTCATGCGGATAAATGTCAGACACCATTTGATCAAAATAAGGATTATCTAAATTAAAAATATCATCAAGGTATCTGGAAGTATTATTAAATGCGACTATAACATCTTGTTGTTTATCTTCAGAGAGACTCAACATAAAGTCTCTTTCATAGCAGTACAAAAACAAATCGGCGACCAGGGGTGCACAATTAGTACCCATAGGAATTCCTATGATCTGTTTAAATAGGGTATTACCAAACCTGACATAAATGTTGTCTAAAAGAAAAGAGAGTGCTCTACAAACTTCGTCACAGGTCCACATTGTATAATGTTTTACAATACCGTAAGTCCTATTTTTACAAGGCAGACAACTGTGTTAAGCTGTCGTGCTCTTGCTAACGCTATTACTCTTCTTTGTAAGAAACGTTTCGTCAGAACACTTGCCAGTATATGTTTATCATGACGGAAATTTTAGCAATGCTGCCCTTACTATATTTGACCTTGTTTTTGTAACGTGATTTGCTTTTTTAAAAAAATCGACTACCCTGAAGATTGAATTTGATACACGTCGACATATTTAAAAACTACGCTAAAGATAAGGATTTAAATATTTGAAGACAATATGTGATTGTTTATACTTACTTTTGTTTAAAATTCATTTGTCTGCAGATATTGAAATAAAGCTACTGAAAAGTTACTTTTTTATCAATTTGTTTCTTTAGGCCCTATAATATTTGAGCGTATAGTGGCACGGACCTTGTTGTTCATCCTTCAGTCTATGAACTAGTTCGTGTCCGTTAAAATCGACAAAAGTTAATTAAAAATATTGGAGAGAAATGTTGACTGTGCTTAAATTTCTAAATTTCGTGTCCGTTCTGTATCTTTTGAATCGATTTGGAGAACCTAGGTTGTTTGAACTTCCTCGGGTCAAAATTTTCACCGCCTTGGTGTCACCTGATTAATATAAACTTATGTAGGAAACTAGAGAAAACGGAATCATTTAAGAACGCGCAAAACGACAAAATTGAAACTGTTATGGACTCAGTTTAATTTAGCCTGTCCATGGATGGTACTGAAAAGTGCAACTTACCGTTCACGCGACCCCTAGTACCGGCTTAAGCAGAATTCAATATTCAAACTTAAAACACATAATTAAGTAGTTTTAAAGTGTAGAACTTCAATGCCTAGGTGTAGCATTACTCTTAATCTCTACATAAGTGATGTTTGTTATGCCCCTCTGGTCGATTATTACGCCGCTCTGGGTATATTTGATTTATATACACTTGTCAAGAAAGAGAATGAAGTCTTAATGTGTGAATCTAAAATACCCACTGTTAAGATATTAATCACTATAGTACTACATTTCTTTGTGGACCCCTATAAAATTGATATTTCTTACGCCCTTAGTGAACTTATTTGAAATCGCTGAGTAGAAAAGACTTATTTTTAGAAACACATTTTGTGTAAAACTATCATGCCCAAGGTTTCAATATTTGGCATGAAACATAGTCATTAAGATTTCAACAAAATGTATGAACTTTTTGTCGATGTTTGGCCCATCAAAGGGATCATTTGGTTGATATAGAACATATGTTTCAGTCTAATTGTGTGAAACTAAATCACCCCGAATTTAGATATATGTCATGTTGTAGGCCCATTTGGATAACTACAGCACTTCTTGTAAGTATTCTTCTTGAGCCAGTTTCGTCCGCCACTGTGGTCACTTGATATAAACTTGATATAAAATTTTATATAGGAAAATACATATACATCATACCATGTGATATTTGTTTGTCCAAAGCTAAGTTCTTTGGTACATAGCATTGCCTTATGAACGTTCACAAAACTGACAGTTACGCCTTTTGGGTCATTTGAGCTATACGAGGGATTATCCAAAAATTCGTGCATTTTCTTAATTGCGTAAAATATATTTGAGAGATGGTTTTGAAGTTCTTACACTGCTTAGAAGAATAAATAACATAAAGAAAACACAAAATAGTTCATGTTAATAGCTTCTTATATGACTTCAATAATTAAGTTTACATAAACATGTGTCCGCGACAGCATTGTACTCCAACTATGTATTGACGTCAACGTCGTGATAACGTACAACCCGTGCCTTACCGTAACGCAGTCAATGATTGTTACTGCTTCTCAAAAAATGTCCCCCGGCCTGCACCCATCGTTCATGACGATGAATCAAACGCTGGTACACATCCGAAAATCATGCCTCATCTATCTGACATATACTACGCTGTTTAGCGTTCAGTAGATCGGCAATTAGACTGAAACCGGCGACCACGACCCGTAATTAGCGTGTAAAGAATTCAACTACCAATTAAATGTAAACAAAAATGTTGCTATTATTTATCATCTAATTGTTTTAGAATGCGCAACTACATTTATGTTCCATTACTGCAATCGGTCGCCATGGTTAGACGTCATCTGTATCAAGGCACGTTTTGACGACGTCAATCATGCCCGCGTTGATATTTGTATATCGTCCGCATCTTTTATCGTCCTTTACGTTCTCCCGTCCACCATTAAATCTTTTATGTCATTTTAAACACTTATGATCGCCTGCTATTTTTTTCGTTTTTGTATGCAAAAATTACAAATTACAACAAAACTTAATAATCGCGCGAATTTCTAATGAAAATGACGTCAACAATTTAAAAAATCACTAAAATGACGTCATGGAAGAAACATGCGATGTTAAGCGGCTTTCCTATGTTAATTATTAGTTCAAAATTAGCACACAAAAAACCGATGACTTACTGCGCTTGTCTACCATGTGTCAGATGTCGTGTATGTGCCTCTTTAAAAGCGATACAAAATCATTTTATTGTCGCAGTTAACTGTTCCTTTCAAAATGTGTGATTATTGTCTACAAAGTATGCTGATAACATTTTATTTCAATACACGTTGTCGTTCAAGAGATATTTAAAAAATTCATAAATTTTTGGATAACCTCTCGTACATCATTTGTGTAGTAAAGGAAAATTATATTCAGTATTATAGTGTAACTTTGATGCCCAGAGCTCAAATACTTGGCATGTAATTTTACACAAAACATATATCTAATATATATAAATATATCTTTAATTTAACGCTTACTGTAAAATGTGCACCAACCTGGGTTCACTTTACTTATGTCCGATATAAGAACATATAACTTAAGACGGTGACTTATTAGGTAAATTTTATTCTTATATAGTTTTAACAATAAGGAATATATATTTTGTATGTTACATTTATCATGCTTCTTTGAACAAATTTCACAATGTATTTATTGTAATTTAAGAAATATATATCTAAATGTCTAAACAGACAAAAGAAAACAGTCAAGCAATTGGCCATTGATTATTGATAAAACTGTATTGTTTTTTTTTTAATCGTAATCTAAAGTAACATCCTATCATTTAAGCAAAGATATAATCATCCTTTTCATTTTGAATTATTTCTAATTAAATTGTAAAGTTTAAAACGAACAGCAGACAGAATTCAAAATATTGAAAGAAGAATATGATTTGATTTCGAAAATCTACTATCCGTTTGTGCAGGACGGAACTCGTATATTAAAGATATATTGAATAATATGTGAGATATAATGTCGATTTATCTATGATTTTAAAGTTATCATTTTTATAATCAAATATGAGCTCGATACAATGAAATCCTCTTTATAATTATGACACAGTGCAAAGTAAAGTTATATTAAATGGATATCGCACCATTTGACTACATAAAACATGTGTGTAACTACTTAATCGGAAACGTTCGCAGTGTGACCACGAAAACAAATTGTGTATGGCTTACATATTCCAGAACGCATTCCACACTCTTGTAACCATCCACTGTTGCTGTCTCTCTTCTTTTTCCTTTTTTAAACGCGCGGCTTCCTCACGAGCGTTGTCTTGTTCCTTTCTATAGCGTGCAGCTTCTTTTTCTGCAGCTTCTTGTTCAAGTTTGTAGCGTTCGACTTCCCTTTGTGCTGCTTCTTTTTCCAACCTATCTTTCAAAAATGCTTCATACTTTTCTTCATCTACTGCTTGCTGTTCACGACGATCTTTATCTAGCTTTTTGTAATGATCTTCTAAGTATTTCATCTGTTTTTCTGACTCATCTTCTTGAGCTTTTTGTCGTTGCTTCCATAATATGTCAAGTTTTTCTTGGTTTTGCTTTTGCTCGGCTGAAAGGGGAATTAATAATTGTGAATGCTATACCGAAAGTTATGCTTATCGAAGCATTTTATTTGACTCATATTTTATAAATAACAAATATCTTTAAGAGTGTACAACCATTTTTCAATATGGTTAGCTCTAAACACTATTTTTATCATTTACTGTCATTCTTTAAGAATCTGGACCATATCTAAAGTACACTACGGGTGGAAAATGAAGCAGAGAGGTGATTGGTACAGATAGTTTGATGCTTAGTGAGTCAGTATCATTTTCATATTTGACTATCAAACAGTTAATCAAACTTTTTTTCATTGGATAATTTTAATACTATATAAAGGCAATTAACAAATACCTTCTTTCTCTTTCTGTGAGATGTTTTTATCAGCTTCAATTATTTTTTCTTCAGGTTTGGTCATACTTTCTACAAATCTGTACCATGTAGATAAAATCTATGAAAAGAATGAATAGTTCTTAACCATATGAATACTTTAAGATTTCTTTGAAAATTGCAAAAAGACACAAGTCTATTCTAGGAAGCACATAAAACAAGAGAATTATAATGCCAAGAGATCACTCATATTTATTGCTAGAAAAATAATATTGCAAGGCAAGAACGACATTCACTTATTTAAAGATAAAAGCCTTGAAAATAGGACCACAACTGACACTTTTATAGGATGTCTAAAAGGCAATGCTGCTTGTTAAAAAAACTATTTTTACACAAGAATAGTCAAGTGTGGTGGCCTTATAACGTTTATATATTAAACTAATTGGCCCATTGGAGTGTTTAAAGTCGGTTATGCTATATTTCAAATATCTAACATTAGGGCATTGATGCACATACGTGTGACGAGACCTACTGGACAATGCTACATACAAAATATATTTGCTTCTGACTATGTGCATTTTTATAATTGAGTACTCAAATAAAATAAATGTCCAATATAAGTTTATATTCAACACGGTGAATCAAGAGGCTATGTGCACTATGTAATGCTACGATCCAAATATCTAAGTTCTGGTCATTATAGCTTCTGAAAAGAGTCTTTTTTAAAACAAATTATTGTCAGTCAGCTGATATTACCTACAACTAATGGAAGCAATATTTGTTTTTCAAAACGACTCCTGGATAGAATTTCATGTTAAGTTTAGCGCGAGTCTTTTTGTGTTGAATATATGGTGAATAGCAATACACAATGATCATCATACTATCTGTTCAAAAGGGCACATCTGTGCATTTTGCACTTAGATATGCTAAAACGATTTTTATCACATGTATCTTTTGAAAATATAAATTGTGCGTTTAAATATAAATGCATTCTAAATCTGGGCGAATTATGATAACCGTTTTCTGAATCCCGGTAGCAGCAATCATTTTCAGTAAAACCTATTAAAAGAAAGAAATTAAAGAAATATAGAAATACAATATCAAAATATTTGTAAACCTCGTTCTCCTTGAAGTCTTTGAGAATACTGAAATATTTATCTTTTGCTTTCTCAACATCACGCTTATATATTTCATGACCACCTGCTGTTTCATAATCTCGATTTTCTAGACTCTTTTCAAGGTATTTGACAAACAAATTTTGCATTGTATTCTCACATTTTTCTCGAACTTTTTGCTCATTAGTTGATTTTATCTCGTACCAAATTGCATCCATTTTCCTCTGAAAAGAAATCAAAATTTGTTTATTTCTAGTTGGATTTTAGTCACACCGAGACTGTAAAGGTTTTTGGTGATAGAAGACCTCAAGTGTCACTATATAAAATTATTTTAGACACAAAAGGGCACCTAAGTAGAAACCACATACCTTTCATAACTTAGCTGGATATCTTTCTCACATGACATAATCCAAAGTCCATGACGGAAAAGGAACCACAAGCGATAACAGCCAAATGATATGGAACCGGCGATTTTTATCACTCAATCACGGACTCAACTAATCAAGTTAAACGTTATTATTATTGTTATTTCTATTATTATTATTATTATTATTATTATTATCCATCATGACAAGTCGTCAAGTATTATGCCTAGTTAATTGAAAATCCAGCCATAAATGATATGATTTATGACCATCAATGTACCCTTGTGACATTGTACTCTAAAATACTCAAGTGGCCTTTTAAAGTACAATATTATTCAACACAGCATTGACTTATTTCAAATGCCCATCATATCCCAGAAATATTTCTATTTTTTGGTTCTCAACTCTTTATAATTTTGTGTCTGATGTAGTTTTCAATGTGTTACTCATTTGCCGATGACCTGAACCATCTCCACTTCTGCTGCTTTTTGGCAATTAGTCAAGTTACATTAATTAAATATAAAATATTAAAATGCAACTTTTGTTTATATCATGCTACTTTTGTGACACATTATTTCACTTTTAGAGCTACTTTCTCCAGGTGATAAGCATTGGACATGGATTTAAACCATTATGTACATGTAATCAAACTTATGTTCATGTTTGCACTTTTTTAAAACATAAAACATATGGAATAAATATAATTTTCAATGCACTTTCATATTATGACTTTAGACATTCAAGTTTGACCTTGACCATAAGGCTTCTAAACTTGTTTACATTATGTCATCTAAAAAAGCATCTATTCTGAACTATGCACCATAGAATGACTTCCTTCTATATTTACAAATGGATCCTTTACGCATGGAAAATATTAAACTTGTGCAAAACAAAAATAACCCACAATGCATTGAGCCTTTAGCATGTAAGACTTTTATATGCTTGTAGTCAAAATACTATAATGAAATCAAGAACTTACCAGCCGAATCAAGATACTGCAGAACCAATACTTTTAATAAATTCCCGACAAAATGACTAGACTTTGGATGGAAACTAAAGTATTCCCTTACATGACATAGACCTCGTTTATAGTCTCTTACCTGAGCTTGAAATAGACATTTTGCTTGAAAATCATTAACAACATTCTGTCGAACATAATCAAGAGCTTTCGTTTGTGCGCTTGTGTAACGTTTCCCCAAATCGCTTTCAGAGACTGGCAGCATTACTTTTTTCATTTCATTTTCAAACAAATCTAGAGCCTCTTTTTCAATTTTAGCATTTTCTATTTTCGCTACAGCTGTAAATGCGTCATCGACATCTGGAACATCACCGTCTTTGATTGCTTTGACGTATTGGTCAGCCAATGTTACGAACACTTTAAAACGGACAAAAGATCGTTTCAGGTAAAGGATAGTTCTAAAAATGATAAAGAACTCTAAATCTAGGTAAAGGATGAATATAATGTGGTGCAAAAAAAGAACTCCTCTGAATGCATAAAAGAATAATGAGGTCTGAGTAAAAATTCTAAGCTCGTATCTAATGGAAGAGGAAATTCAGGGGAATCTTTAGAAGAAACAATTTCCTATACTGAAAAATACAATCAAAATTTTGGAATCGATTATGAGGTAATAATGAGACTACCGAAATTTGTTCCAAATTTAGGCATCTCATGTTCATTGAAAATAGTTAACTTCTAATAGGCTTGCGACATCATGTCCACTAAATAATCTGTGATGAAAGATATGTAGGTAACTAATAGTCGAACTACATACATTCCTCAAACACATTTTTGAATTAAAGTAATGATGGGGATTTACCGTGTTGGACAGTCTGTGATTAAACAAAAACATTTAAATACAATATAAAGCGACGCCAAAAATGTTGCTATGTATGTATGTCAAGATTTAATTACATACTTTCAATAGTTATGGTAATTTATTACTTACTTTGTCCATTTATTGGTTTACTTGCAAGCAATTTCTTCGGTGGTATTTTGTATATATAGGATGTAAATCGATTAGTTACTTCCTTGAATCTTGTAGATAACTGGTAAAAACTCAACGTTTCAAGATTCTCAAGAACTTCACCATCACCCGGAACTGGAAAAGCAAAGCACTGGCGTCTCGAAAAGTATTTTCTGATGCATGCTCTTGGTTTGTTGAACTGGTCTGCTTTGCTTTTTTTCTCCGCTAAACTTTGCTCAAGATAATCGTTTTCTGTTATCTTTTTTCCATCCTTTATCAATTTAAGACTGAAATCTCTCAAACAGAGAACGAAGTCAGGAAGTATTAGATTGATCGATTGGTTATCCTCAGACGATTGTCCACGAAATCTTATATTACTTGCCATTTCTGTTACAAATCTAGTATTTTAGTTAAGTTGTTACATACATAAGTATAATATTTTTAAAAGATAATCTTAAACAGAATGACGTTTCTTAAAACGTATTCGTAGATTAAATCTGTTTGTTTATTTGCTTTGTTTATTTTATTTATTTACATTTATTTATATTGCTTCGTTATCTCTGAGCAATGATTTAATAAAGCGCAAGATATAATTAATTCTGCAGTGTAAAAAAATCATAATTATTCCACCATCAGTATACAATTACGATAGAATTACCAAAGAACAACTAAACTGACTGACTTGAAACACTCTCACTCAACACTGGTCTAACACCCTTATATATAACTAAATTAATCCAGCTAAACATGAAAATCTAGTTAATCAATAAAGTTATAAAAAGTCAATGTTTCCAATCAAAATTCGATACATATTTATTTACTACATATATGATGCAATAGAAATATCATTTATTCTTTTGTAACGAATTAAATGACATGTGTTTAGGTATTGAAAATTTATGGAAATTGTCAGTGAATTCGGACAATCACTGAACCGGATAAGAGTAAACAACAATTGACAAATGCTGGTACGAATAATTTAATAATGTCTCAGCTTTTTGTTTAATATACCCTTGAAGATAAAATATTTTTGCTTCTTTATTCATTTCTATTTATCTATTTTTGTATTGACATGTTTAATAAACAGATGATTCTTATTGAACGATAAGAGATTGTAAAAATTAAATATTAATATTGTAATTTCAAATGCATTTCCGTTTTCTTTCCTTAAACTATTCTGCCAATAACATGAACAAACATGTAAAAAAAAACTTCTTATCCGGAAACCTTTCTAATCCGAACTTTTCTTCTGGTCCGGACGAGTTTGGATTAGACAGGTTCCATTGTATATAGTTATCTCTTTTTTTTGAAGATTATTGAAAGAAAAACGTCATTTGTATCTTGTTTTATTTGAATACAAAAGCATCAGAATAAAGGACACTGGACGAAATGATTAAGGTTCTTGATATAAGTATGTTTTTCTTGGCATAATACGTGTCGTTAACACATTTGAGGACAATTTTAAAGAACTTGAGAGTAAGTGTTTTAGGTTTTACGTCACATCGATAATGTAACGTCCATTCGGTGACATTCCAGCTTTTTTATAGACGAAGTCCTCATTTGTCCCTTTATTATGTCAGATATTTAACCACCGACCTTCCGTAATGTACCTTGACAGTTTCCATACATGACCAAAAGCTAACGTCCATAACCAGTAGCCATGTAATAAGGGTCGCCCACTTGATCCCGATAAGGAATGGAATTACAGTAAAAACGCAATATGAGAAATTTAAGAAATTAGATTTTAAAAAAATCATCGCCCGTTACCCACGGTATATATTGTGTACATACTACGTTATATATATATTCCGTATGCATACTACACTATCTAGATAATGTTGTATATACGGAATATAAACCGAAGGTAACCGACATTGCTCGAAAGTAATCATTGTCATAGAACAGACAAAACATGCTAACTTTTAAATTATTGATATATTATTATATCATATGCTTACAGAGGGACACAAAACACATTCTGACTTAATGTAAGTAATAATCGATGTTTTGATGGAACTTAATTGTTATCTCTAAAAATTCGTGTATATTTGTTTTTAATCTAATCATGAATAATCATAGCATAGATAGTATTCTATATTGATTAAAATTGAATTTTTATTCTAGAAACCAAGAACTTATACCCCTGTTTTATAAAACATTCGCATACCAATGTAACAGTCATGTTAGTTAAAATAAAAAGGATACGTGAGTTTAGAGACGGCATCGTTATCAAAAGCGCCCTTCATGTTGTAAACTAAACAGTTGGAAAGGAGTGTCGCTAGGGTAAAAATCTTGTTGTCATGACTGGGGTCACCCTGTCAAATACCATTATAAGTAATTGACTTTAAAACAAGTTCTAAAATACATGAGTGATAAGCTTGTAATTAGTTTGTACAATAACTTATATTGATTACGTAATATTGTTTTGTAACATTTTACCGTAATATCATTTTGAATTAACTATTCATACCTTGTCAACATCACCAAGTCCTTCGGTATCAAGAAGCAGCAAAACAGTGTTCGACATTTTGGGATGTATTTTACACCATGCCCAAATGCCCTTGGTTTTTGATTCAATTGTATCTCCCAGCGCAAAACCTAAATCAGCATTAACAAAAAAAACAGAACTTTAACTTACATTTCGTTGATTGGCATAACGATAAGTAACAGTTTAAATACGATGTAACATTATCATATGTCATTTCAATTAATTTGTAATAATAATAAAATACGCAAATAATTTGATTAAGATAACATTACGCTGACATACTCTGTTAATTACCTTTGCTGGACTCCGCCAGACGATTCATTAGATACGATTTTCCAGTTCTGTACAAACCTGCGACGGCTACAACAACCATTGGCCAATCAATCTTTGCTATTTGATCAAATGCATTTTCCTGGCTCTCTAAAAGTATTTTAGTTTCTTCTCCTTTTTCGTTTGTTTCACTTATGGCGCTGATCAAGCACATGGGATATTGGAAAATTTCCAAATCATTTGGAGACCACCTGCTGCAATTTTTATCACCAATTGTTCTAAATGATTCAGCAAATGATTTTTTTTTTTGTTCTTATATTATAAAATTGACTGGAATGTTAAAATTTCTTTTCAATATATGCTCCACGACATATAAGATCAACGGGAAACAGTGGATAGCACCGCTGATACAAATTACAATCCAAACATCACAAACACATCAACAGAAGACAAAACATGTAATACTTGGTCGTCGCCTCGCAGACATATGAGTTCTTTAAAACAAAAAGCAAACAAAGCATTTTAACGACATTGGCGAAGGGAATGGCAAACATCTGGATGTATTTTAAATGCGGCTTCCAATAATACACATATCTATAAAAAAAAAACTTACCGGCTTTGACTGACAGACACGTTTACCATTTTTTCCCGTAATTCGTTGTCGCATCCATTGCCGGAACTGAAATATTTGACGTAAATTTGACATATTCGATATTAGTTTAAATTGAAACATTTGCTTTTGTTGTGTTATTGAATGGTACACTTTCTTGCAAGCGATTTGATTGACAATAAAAACAGCAACAGAGGACCAAGAAATACGCGAACTTAGCAGAACATCTCAAATGTTTTATATGTGTATAGAAAATGATGTATTATCCTATTGTTGCCCTGTCATGGAAATGTCAAAAGTAGGCCAAAACAATTTACAAACAATATCATAATTACGTACTTCTTATCCAACTTGTCTATTTTTCTTGGTAATATGCTTTGAGAGGACCCATCATCAAGCCTTGTACCTGAAGCTAAAACTAAATATGTTAAAATTGACAATAGATTTTTTTTTATTCAAAGTTATTTAGATGACTTGTTTGGTATTTCATTTTAAACGTGCACACGGATTTTTATCACTAATAAAAAAAACTATATACAGAAATAACTGTTATGAAATGATTTTAACTGAATACTGAATAATATTCCGAGAAATTTGAAGTTTAGATCAAAATTTCGAAAAATAAATGTAAAACAAGATATATTTGTTAAACATGTATGCCCCCTATCGGCAGCCACTAAGTTATGTGGTCAGGTTATTATGAATAACTTTTAACCTAGTGACCAAAAAAATCAATAAGGGTTATCTACTGGTCATGACTAGTCACTAGGTAATTGTGACCGTTAATTTTGTGTAGCAATTTTATGACAAAGTTATCACAAATCTTACCAAATAATATATGCATAAATTGTATGAATCATGTGGGCGAACAGCTCATGGCTTGTCAAGTTATTGATCAGAAAAGGTTTTACGTACAAGGGCAATATGACCTTGACCTTTGAACCCTGATACAAAAATAAAGTGGGGTCATCTACTGCCTAACTCTAATGCACCTACGAAGTCTGAGGGCAAACATCCCAGGGCGTGTTAAGTTATTGATCGGAAACCATTTTTATCTTCATGGTCAATTTGACCTTGACCCTTTGACCCCCCGCCCCCCAAATTTTCCCGGGGGCAATTAACTTTTTCATGAACAATATAACCAAGTTTTTAAGGGTTTTTCTTACGGGGCCCAAGCTTTATTTAAATTACTAAAGGGAAAAAGGGTTTTTATTTTAAACCGGACCGACCCAGAGGACGACAGCAAAACAATAACTCTTTACTTTTTTAAAAGGGGGGCATGAAAAAAGATAATTTTTTTTACAAAAACTGTTAAAAAGTTTTTTTTGGGATAAGTGATTGGGTTTGTTTCCCAAAACGGGCAGGGGAAAATGTTAAGTAATCAGAGAAATATTATTTTGGTTTTTTTATAAGATAGAAAATACAAAATAAAATGAATCAAAATTGCGAAATAAAATTTGTAAAGCATTTTCATAATTTAATACAAAAAAATTTTTATTAAATTTGAAAAAGGGTTGCACAGGATATGGGGTTTTGGTTGTTACAAATTAAAGTAGCAACCTGATTGGTGTTGATGATTAGTTTCTTTTCTTTGAAATTCCTGTTTTCTTTTGTGGCGGTATTTAAAAAATCTTTGAAAATTTATGCAAGATAAAATGTCACAAAAATGTTAATAAGTAAAATAATATTATTTTTTGAAAACTGTTATGTAAAACAGAGAAATAGAAAAGAGGCATCGGGGGAGAACACGAAGGCTATCTGCTTTTGTACAATGGGCGTAAAATTTATTAATAGTAACATAATATCATTTTTTGGACAAACTGGGTTAAGTTACACAAGTAATAGAAAAAGCTAATTGATAAACGAGGCTCTCTGATTTGTACGAGGGGGCGTAGCCCCCCAAGTATAAAATCGGATTGCCGAGTTTGGTTTGGTGTTCTTTTTTCTTTTGTTATCAATAGTCCAAACATAAAAAAAAAAACACATTCCCTGTTTGTCACAATATGAAACCCATTAAAAAAAGCAACCAAATGAACTAGGATCTGAAATAGATAATTTCTATCGCATACCTTTTTCTGTGCACAATAAGTAAACCCACAAAAACGGAGTTAGTAATGGGCACATGTTGTGGAGTGCGGGTAACTGATACCCCTACAACTCAGTAAACGCAACTGTGCTTGTAATTACTGTTATAACGATTTTAAACTCCATTTAACACATTTTCCCAACAGAAAAGGTCCCCAAAGACTATAATGATACACATAATTTTAATTTAACCCACTTTCTTTTAATATTAAATTAATGCTTGGTAGAAAATAGTATGACTTCAAGACATTCATATAGACTCTTTTCAATAAATGGGCTTTAATTTGAAGTAAACCATGATGTAAGTTTCAGTGCTGTGTCGCTTTTTTTTCCATACTTTGGAAAAACTTTTAATTTTTTGACACTGGAGTGTCCATGTTTTTGCCTTTTAATCAGAGAAATTTCGGCTGGGGTTTTTTAATCCATTTTCGAAAATCTAAAAAAAATATAATTTGGGAAAATATTTTTAATTTTTTAAATGAAATGGGTTGCAATCCGATCGGCCGTTTTGGGGAAACTATTATCCGTTCCAAAAAGTCACGGCTGTTCATATACGCGCTCCTTCATAATGCCCCCCCCGCTGTTGGCGATGTCCAGAACGGAGAGTTACCAAATTTTAATATGTAATACAAGCGTCAAATAGCTGCAAATGAATGCTGTAACACCACAGCTTACACTGCATACTATGTAAAACTTGAAGTAAAAAGCGAAGCCTTACGAAACGGAAATTCCATTAAATCCTTATTAGTACTCGTTTGATACTGTGACAGGGCAGGTAATATAACGCTTAACGCAATGTCGTTTACCCCATTTACACAACTGCACATGCTGATCAACATTCCTGTAAAGTTTCATGACTCTATGTCAAAAACTTGTTGAGCTATGTGTGACGAATGGCATCAAAGAGAAAGAACAGTTACCTATTGTCCATCTAGCCACATTATTACTGTCTCGTTAGAGCTGATTGACAGACGGACAAGGGTAAATCTAAAAGTGGGTGCACAATAAACTCAATGTCCGAGATTAGGTGCCATGTTTAAATACTTTTGCGCAAGTTTTAAACAAATCCCCTCCTTCAAATAAAAACCACATTTATAGATATTATTTTGAACAGCAAATAGAAATCAAATAGTAGCATGTTGACAGTCCTGCAGACTTTATACTTACATTAACGCTCAGAATTACCTTGCATAATTAGAAGCAAACAATGAATCGTAATGTCGTATTTCAGTGCCTTTGATATTTGTCTTACATAAAAGGTCCATGTGGCATTAATGATGAAACCTCATTCTTGCAAAGCATGACCATAAAGACACTGTGGTTATATCAAGGCATATTTTCTATAAATCCTGTCTGTTTTACGGTAGGGAAATGTTTGAAGGTCCATCACCGATTTCGTACAAAGGCACGCCAATTAGCTCCCTAAAACATCATTGATTAAGGAGTTGAATACAATTTTTCAAAATATAATGCCTATGAATGTGATGAATATACATTGCTAAATGATGTTTAAATGAGGTAATTGTTTACTTTAAATTAAGGCTGAAAGGAATTTACACTTTCATTTCTTATCAATAATTTGTCTCTTTAGAAAATCACGAAGATCTTTGAGACGATATGGATGTCGCTTATTGTCTAAGTTTACACTTATCACTTATAATGTGCAATTCAGACAATAAACGTATTGGAATCGAACGAAACTACTCTTTCGAAATCTGATAAAATAAAGAAGGATTTTAGTTTTTATTGATCTTGAGATTATGTAGTTTTAATGACCATGACCTAAAATCAGCACTTATCATCGGTCGCAAGTGCGAACACATTTTATTTGAATTGTCCTTTGATAATGGATAAACAAGGTTTGAAGTTTATTGACATTGGCATTTGATTTCCAATTGAAGGAAAGACCATATGTATGACTTATTAGGCAACACAATATTGAGTTAAACAATGCAAAAGCGTGACTAAATTACAAAATCTAAGGATTTTAAATTCAAATAAAAATTGATTCCCAGGCCTTTGGAAATATCAGTGAAAGTATATTGTTGTTAAACAAAGAACGAATGAGATATCTAACTTATGTCATCTCATGTCATTTACAATAACAGATTTAACAGTGAAAGTCTTTGTACCAAATTCCACTGGTAGAGGATGAAGACTTTAGACCTATGTGTATTATTTCAGGCAAATATATAAAACATAATTCAGAAATAAAGTATATGTATATATTTAAAGTATAAGAAGCATATTAGTACTGGCGGAAAATCGTAATTGTAAATATGGTATACATATCGTATTTAAAGATAGTCATGGCATGACACACCATATATTGAAATCAGAAAACTGAAAAAAATATATGACTTTTATTCAGATTGATATTTATAGATCAATATTTTACCATTTTTTATTTTATGTAAAGACGGTGCATTATTTTCGGAAGAAGTCTTTTAGATTTTGCACCATCTTTTGGTTTTCGTAGAGACATACGGGGACACTTTTGTTTGCCTTAAACCTCATTTTCGTCCACCACCTAGACTTCAACCAACGTATGTATCCATCTACTCCTCATTATTTCTTGATTATATTAAAACTTTCGGTCTGTGGATTTTTGGTGCTGCCTACAGTTACATGACTTTCATGGTTACATTCAAATTAAACAATAAGATTTATATTCATTGCAAGATACAAAAGACAACAAAAATGTTGATTTATTTAACTATGTAACACTTGCCATATATGATGTTGATACATGGTCAATTGTAGCAAATGTCAATCATTTTGTAAACATTGAAAAAGGAGGAAATTAAAGTAAATGATCGTCATTGGCCAGCGTTACTATAAAGACCACGTATACAAAATCCTGACTTTTTGTCTCGGATAAGGAGAGAAGATGTCAAAGATGTCAATCTCCTAATCTAAAGAAACGTTATTGAGAACTTACAACCTCAATTCAGGAGAGAATAAACTATATTCAGTACATTAAATTTGTATTGAGATAGGGATGTGCTGCTGCCATTCCTTCTCAGCATTACCGCAAGTAAAAATATGTTATCTAAAAATTTAAGAGTGTTTGAAAAGGACTGACAGATTTATTAAAAAGCATAAAAATGATAAAATACAAAAATATAGATTAAAAGTGTGGTCAACATTTACGGAACAGAGTCACCCCGCCACAAAAATAAAGAAATAAACATATACTTGTAAATTCGCTTAATACACTTCTAAGTAAAATATAATGTGAATGAGTTCAGACCTCATTAAGATAACAGAAATGTCAGTGTAAAATGTTAAAACTTGATGAAATTTGTCAAAAAAATCAATGCCTGACGGGACGACAATATACATGAGAACTCGAGGTGAAGGATAGTCCTCAAGGAACTTAAATTTCCAATTCGTCGCAAGGGATGTTACAAAGTAAATGGTATTTATTATTTAAATCCATTCTTAAATAACAATTTAAAGAACATCGATGAATAGAAATTGAACTACATTAGCTATTTGTATGACTTTATTGGGTTTTAAATAATCTTCATGGTTCATTTGATTCGCATCTGACATAACATTTCATGTAAAAACCGTATTCTGTAAATACATGTATGTTGTTTCATTATGCAATAAATTTATTTTTCCTTGGGCGGCATTTATATCCTGTAGTCTATGTTCCTTTAAATGATTCACATGATTGTATGCTTTGTGTATTGCTACATGTTATATATGTTGTATGCATATCCTGTCTGGTAAATTATCGTCAGCTGTAAATGTTTCCTCTTCATTTTTCATTTTCTTCATCCAAGAGAGTACCTCATAGAAAAGTCGTCTTTATTTGGAAAGTTTCGGAAAATGTCGAAGCGTTTATTCTATTCAATCAGTGAAGAAAGACCTTCATTTACGTACATCAATTTACAGATATATCTTTGCCCCTGACATAACAACTACTTATGAAACAGACTGAAACATTCAATCTTACATTTTTGTAGAGGATTCCTTAT